CGATACCCCCCCCCCCCCCGCTCATAGAGACTGCGTATTACAGTTGATTATAGTTCCTGGGCTCCCTGTGCTTCGAAAGCCTGCCGCAAAAATCGAACGATTTGATTTTGAACTAGAATTTCTTTATTTCGTAACTCACATCGACCGGCCGATCTTCGACAGAAGAATATTGCTTCCGAATACCCTTACTTAATCAAAATTGCCTATCATCAAATGTGGACAGCACATTATTAAGCATGGAAATGTCCTCCAAAATACTTCGTGTTTGTCGAATCCCACGCGATGTTTGACGCCACTACGACGCTATGATCTTTGTTTCTCCTGTTTTTACGTTCGATTTCACGCATAACGCGTGATTCTCGCAATGAACGGAAAATGGTCTATTATAACCGACAGAACGCTGAATTCATTTATTAAACCCAAGAACGTACACAGGTGAGGTAGTATGACCCAAACCACCCACAACGTCACTGTATTTACTTTATTTAACATGGGAGCTATTAAATATACGTAATACAATGTATTTAAACCGTTGTGAACACTTCAATTGATTAATTAGCCAAGCAATCTTTTTATTCCATTAGACACTGGCCGGTATGACCTAAACCACCCTCTACGTCACTGTATTTACTTCATTGGACATGGGAATACATTGTATTACATATATTTTATAGCTCCCATGTCATTACAAATACAATCAAATGACACGGAAAATACATTAAGGTCAAAAAATTCACACGTGTTGCGGTTGTATTTATGCTCAGTACTTAATAGCTCGATTTACAATACTAAAATGATTAGGCAATAATATTATGGCTGAGCTATGTTTTCTAAAAAAAAACTGCTACCTGTCTCCATGGCGTGCACGCTTCATGGCCGACCTCAGCAGGTCAATGCATGTTTGATGTGGATTAATGGTAACGAACAGGATTTTTATTTTGCGTGTGTGGTGATTATTTTAATAGTCATAGACAATACCTGTGTTAGCGTGAGTTGACATCATTGTTTGGCATATGTACTGTCATCAGTTCGTGTCTAAATGATTGAAGTTAAGCCGGTGTTGAACACGGTGAACTTCTTATATTGGTCGGCTCAATTCTACGGGATTCTACCCCTCATTTGAAACCCAGAGATATCGCAGAAATGAGTAAGTGAAACATTTGTAAAGTTATATCTAATAATAAATTAAACCACATTGTCCTGGGTACCGATTTTACATGGTCGATGTTAACTTCATAATTTCAGCCAGAAATTCAACATGCAGCTAGAGTACATCATTGTTTGGTCCGGTTCAATGTGACATTATAGGTCAAACAAAGCCCGCGAATGACAAATTTGATCCAACTCCGCATAATATGCACAATTTTCAACAAAATCACAAGTTGCTACGTTGAAAACGCGCTATAATTTGCCATTGCTGCATTGAATGAGTGGGAATTGGCAACTAGAATAGCGAAGCATACTAATGAAGTTTCTTAAAAATAACTTGTCGTAATTTTGTAATGGCGTCTTGTACATTTAAATTTAAACATCATACACTTATACATTGCAATACAGAAACACATTGGCACACTTGTAGAGAAAAGTATGTTGTTTATTTCAAATGTTGAGGCTACGTCATGTAATACAGTGTCCCAGTTACGACATTAATGTGTTTTAAATGTAAAGATGAATTGTAGATATTGATTATCAATGTTGTTGTTGATTCTTGAATGAATTACAGGAGGAATGTCTCCCTGAATTGACTGCATTGTACTGTCATGTGTTTGTCTCTTTTACTTTTCTGGAATTGTAAATTTGCTTGCGGATTCAGTTAATGTCGGGGTTTTCTTAATGTTGATTATTGGCTTTATATTTTTCTATTTACTATATGCACATGATATATGCATACTGAGGAGCGTTGTTAACCAAATGACGAGCGAATGGTAATGCCCTTGTGGACTTTATAGGTAGAGCAGTTTCAGTATTGTGGTTGGGGATAAGATGTTCATTGAGCCTGAAGAATATGATTTATTAAAGATGAAATTTGAAATTGGTCTATAGAGTCTAGAACAGA